TCCTTATCTGGCTCAGGGGTTCTGGGGGTGTAGAGGTGGAGACACTTAAGAACATAATGGCGGCGGCAGCAGCTGCTGCAGCTAACACACAGAGGTACCATTGTCAGTACAGTCACAAGGGAAGGCGAAAGTTAAGATTCAGAACTCCCTTCCCTTGCTCCCCTAAAGTTTTAAACAAGACTTGCTTCTTGGTACTTGTGTTTCGGAGCATCGCTCACAGCCCCAGCCATGGGGAGTGCGGCCTGCCGGAAATGAGAGAATTGCTCGGTTGCATGAATCTAGCGGTATAGAGCATTGACACTGAATCCTGGCACTGTTTTCCACAGGCGGGGGTGGTTTTAGCTGATATTTCTCTCCGGAGGGTAACAAAGGCAGAGAGAGCCCAGCTGCTGCGGGTATCCCATATGCTGCTAGCCCGTGTACTGCAATGGTGCAAGCCGAAGTGATCGCTGACTGACATGGGAAAGTGTCCTACCGCAGAGGAAGAAATAAGGCTGCCCTCCCTGGGGACCTTTGGCAGAGGACTGCAGAGCGCCTCAAACCTCCATGAAAGTGTCATCGAGATGTCTCAGGAAGATTCAAGCGACATCCCTGTGCACATAAACAAACTGCTCTGCACGGTCCCCTGCCTAACTCTAGGGGGCAATGAAAAGCAGATAGCGACTCTAGCTCTCCTGGTCGTAACACGACCTCTCCCAACACGAGTAAATGAATGGAAAGGCGAGAGCTGGGTCCTGCTAATGTCCCTGTGAGGGGAAATACAATCACACACTTACCTGAAGTTCCTTCCGCTGCATCAGGCTCCACAGCTGGGACTGTGGTGGCTTCTCAGGCAAATCCTGGCTCCTGTCTTAGCTGTAGCCAGCCCCTCCCCTGTGGGGGTTGGAGTGTGGGAGGGGGCTCAGGGCGGGGGCAGAGGATTGGGGTGCAGGGGTGAGGGCTCCGGCTGGGGGAGTGGGCTCTGGGGTGGGGACAGAGATGAGGGGTTTGGAATGCAGGCTGCCCTAGGGCTATGGCAGGGAGCGAGGACTCCCCTCAGTTCTCTCTTCCCCACAGCAGCACCTGGACTGGGTGCCTCTCCCCTGGCCGTGTCAGGTCCAGGCTGGGTTGGGGCCAGGGGACAGGTGCCTCTTCCCTGGCTGTGGCAGGCCTGGGTCGGGGCGCCTCTCCCCCGGCTGTGGCCTATGATGATTTCTTCCACGCTGCCCTGCTGTTTCTCCCCAGGGAATAGAGAGCAGCATGGAGCGAGGGGACAGGTTGAGGTCCCGTCCTCTCCAGTGCCATGGGGTTTCCAACAGCCCTGCCCACTGTGGGCCTTGGCCCAACTCCACTGCAGTCAACGGGCCCTGGGCCAGGATCTCTGCTAGGACAGGAGTGCTGGCACCTACCCCACAGTCATGGTAGGCCTCAGTGTATGGGGCTTCCCATCTAACTCCAGGCACACCCCCACACCTCCACTGGAAGGGCCAGCCCAAAGGGATGCTCGAGCCTCAGCTTGTGTCAGGCAGTGGAGCTCAGACCTTGTGGCATCCGCCCCTTCCCCTCTGTGGGGCGCTATAAAGGGCTTCCCTGGGTGAGCAGTTCCAAGGAGCGCTGGGCTCCCCAGTGCAGTTTGTCTCCCCTGTGTTAGAGGGTTGGGTACCAGAGGAGGCCATTCCTACCCACCTCTCCTGCTGATCAGAAAGGGGATCCTCCCCCCTTTCCAAAGCTGCTCATGCCCTCTCTCATGCATGGGGTGAGGGAAAGGGAGATTACAGCTTGCAGTGGGGGGAAAAGAACTAGCCCAGAGATTAGATTCATGCTCCAATAACCCCTCAGCCTCGGCTGGATGTTTAGCCAGGCCCCGGGAGCTGTTCTCTCTTTCTCCAGGCAGGGAGCTGTAGATTCAAGAGGAGATCTAGGGTGGATACAATACGGCCTCTGGGCCAGGGTGATATCAGCCTCACCTGTGCTGGGGTCGCCATCCTGCCCAGGTGAAGGGGGAGTCCAGGGCTCCTGTGATGGGAGCATGTGACCAAGAACCAGCCCCCATGGGATGTGTAAGGGGCAGCCTGAGCTCAGGGCAGGAGGGCTGGGCGTGTTACCCTTGGCCCAGGGGCCAGCCTTAGCTCCCAGGCCCAGGGGCCCGGGAATGGGAGCCAGCAAATAAGTCTGGCGGGGAGGGGGGAAGAGAGAGAGAGTGTGTGTGTCCGGGTGAGTGTGATGGTGCTCAGCCAGCCTCCCTCCGAAAACAAGGGTGTGGGTGCGGTGATTCCCTCTGATGCTGTTGGGGAGGCAGCAGCAGGGTCTGAGGCTGGAGGTAAGACCCTGTTACAAGCTCAAACTAGGGAGTCAGACAGGGCCTCGGCCTCTGAGAGGTACAGGGTGGCTGCCTGCAGAATAGGCCCAGTAGTGCCCCCCCTCCCACCCCCCCCCATTGAACTCTCCTGGCCTCTCTTGAGAGCAGCATCTCTGTTGCCATCTCTCTTGTCTCTACCCTGTTCTCTGTGGCCCACCCCCAGGGCGAGGGCTGGCTTGTTCCCCTTCCTCTGGTCTCTGTACCCTCTGCATTCCCAGCCCTTGTCCCTACAGCGTGGGTGAGTTATCCCTCTCCTGCTCCTACGTATGCAGGCTCTCCCCTCCTGCTGGGGCCCCTAGCGTAGGTTCTGTTGTGGAGCTTCCCATCCGCTAGCACCTCTCCCCTGGGATACCCCTCCTCTCCCTGCCCCCCTTCCATGACTGACCGTGGGAAGCCAGCCCCTCCCATTCTTCCCCTTCCTGTGCAAGAACAGGGAAGCAATATGGGGGTGACTGGTTCTGCTGAGTAGGGGAGGAATGGGACAGAGAGTTGGGGCCCCTACTTCCCCACCCCAAAGATAGCTGCTATCAGTGAGGATGCTGGGGGAAAGGGAACTGGGCCCCCTTTTTTGCTGTCTTTAGCTGGTTGTAAGGTAACCACTTAAGTCTCCAAAGAAATAAAAGGACCTTGTGTGAAACAGATGGGATAGGTGGGTTCTAGCTCCCCCCCATGTTTTAGTCATGATCTAAAGCCAGACCTTTGTATCTTGCTATATAGGCCTTGGCATAGGAACTGCCAGGTTGGGTCAGAAAGCCATGGGCCAGCGACTCTCATAGCCTGTCTCCAATCGGGGTCAGAATCAGCAGCTTCACAGGAAGGTGGGAGAACCCTGAGAGTGGACAACGTCAGAATAAGCTGCTCCCGAGGGGAATTTCTCCCAGCCCCCACCAGTTTGTGGCTGCCTGCTGCCCTGAAACGAGGGTTTATAGCCCTTATTTTCATGTTGTCTAGGGTGAGCGTGGCTGTTCCTGTGCATATTAATGTCCAGTTGTTTGCTGAACCGGGCTATGCTGCTGGCCTCAATGATCTCTTGTGGTACTGAGTTCCACAGGCTAATCAGATGTTAAACCTTGGCATGACTTGCTGAAACAGGGTTGTGAGAGGTTGCTGGACAGTAGGAAGAGGAGGGCAGTGGCTGCTTTCAGCTCGGCTGGGGGCTCGCAGCAGGTCTTTAACACAGGAAAGTGCTGGCCTAGCCCCTAGGCAGCCGCTGAGGTGGAGGTGTGAGCTGGGTGGCTCCCAAGGCCAGAAGCCTTCACCAACCTCTGGTGAGGACCTGGGCCAGTCCCCTTCTGGCCCGATCCCGGCACAGGGAATAGGACTAACCTAGGGCAGAGGCCTGGCCTACAACTCTCCAGCCCCACTCTGCCTGGCCTGCCCTGCACAGTCCCTGATCTCGACCCCAGCCTCTGCTCGTTCTAGTTCCAGCTTGTCCCTGCTCTGTCCCGGGCCAGGCCCGCGCTACCGCCCCGCACGCATTCATGGGGCTCTGTCCCTTTAAGAGCCTCCCTCTGTCCTCGGCCCCTGCGCCTGACGTCGAGCGTGAGCACAGCTCCCCAGGAATGTATGCAAATCAAGCCCCGCCCCCCGGGCCAATGGGAAGCGCCGCTCGGGCCCTCCTCGCCCAATGCCGAGCGAGGCCCGCCAGAGGGCGGCCAATGGGCGGGAGGCGCCGGCTCGCACCATATAAGGAGCGGCTTCGCCATAAAAGGCAACATTGTATCGCTTTATATGGGGGGAAAGTGGCGCGCGGGCGGCGGGCCGGAGCCGGAGCCGGAGCGGATCCGTCTGTAGCGGGAGCGAGCGAGCGGGGCCAGGCCGGGAGGCGGAGGCGGGGGCCGGGCCGGA